ACATGTGTGTGCACAGTCCACGTGACAAAAAGTACCACATCAGTGCTATACCTTTACGACGCGCCACCCGTGTACGTGGGCCCGGTACATTTGCCCACAGTACTGTCTGAGATCTCACCCGGCTTCAGGCTTCCTCAGAGTAGCTGATAGACTCCCGACAACCACCAGAAAGCAGATATCCGTCCAAACCACTGTCATGGAGGGGATTCACTGTCCGAAGGATTTCGGTAGTGGCTTACGGAACGTCACAAACCTGGGCGGCTCTAAGCGGAACAAAAGACTGCCTACGCCTAGGGCAACCACATCCGCAACAAGCTCTGGATTCACATCAGTGACAGCAACCAGTGGGCCACATAACGATTGGATTAGGGCGGAGAAAAAAACTTGAATTATCCGTGGAAACGCACCCATAGGATCAGCTAGTGTTGGCATCGCTGACCGACCTAGCTCTATCTATGGAACGTTCTTGTCTCCAATGGTAGCCTTCTGGAGCATAAGAACACGTTTGGCAGGCAGCAGTGGAACCCCTTTGTGTCACGCTAGGCCTGGGCTCTTTCTGGGCAAAACTGTAGACTGTACAGAGGCACCCATTCACCCTTGGGGGAGCCTCCCCCGAGAGAGTGGCCCGAGGCTCAACTACAGACGCAGAAAGTTTACTCGTACTGTCACACCCCGGTCATCAACAGATCGTCCGGCACCAGAGCTAGACTGGACTGATCATGGGCATCAAGAAACACGTCTCGAGAAACAGCTGATGCGCAGAAGCCCGCAGACATGGCTATACGCGGAATACATGAACTGGTCACTGCTACCCCAGGTGGTAAGTGCACCCACGACGTTCAAAAATGGGAATGGTTGCCAGCTGGGATGGAGCTAAGCGGGGCGGCAGCAATCGCAGTCGGTGGGCAGCCGCGCCTCTTGCATGTGACAACCACGGCCCCAACTAAACTGACGGCAGTCAATTTCTGGTTCCCAGAGGTTCCTAGCAGAGTGGTAAAGACGTGATATAAAGTGAGGAGCACTATAAGCGGGAATGTTTGCGGCTTAAAATGCAGACCGAGAACGCTGTGACAATGACACACAGCAGTTAATCCCAGTGCTTGGGCCACCATCACCCTACACCAACACGTTGAGAGTCAGACGGGTGACCTCCACCTAGTGTCGACCGCACAAATCGGCCAGGGAAGAAGTTTAGCCGGGCAGGTTCCATTAGAACTAGGCAGCAGTATGAAACCCCACACAGAAACCTGCGCCACTAGTCAACCCAAAGACATCTCACGTTACAAAGAGCACTTCGAAGTGTCTTTAAAGCAAGGTGAGAGGACTTCGAAGTAAAATGACAGAGCTCTGACCCCTCTGATCCAACCTTGTTACGAAAGTCATAGCCCTGGAGGAAACATGGCTATCGCCGGACATTAGTGACACCCAAGTCAACATGGATGATAAAGTTTTGTTCGCGAGGGACAGGGGACACCAGGACGGAAAGATGGTTGTAATATGCGCTAACAGTTGGTTCGAGAGCGAACAGACCACTGACATGTTACTGACGGAGCTCATAGCTCTACCTGGTGCCACCTGTCGGCCAGACACAAAGTACCTGGTTGGAGGAGTCAATAGGTCCCCCGATATAGAAGTGGAACAACCAAATATTATCCCAAGTAAAATCGGCAGTTTCGACTATGGAGTATGACCGTATTCTGATGGCTGGCGACATCAACGCTCCAACCCTATACCCAGAGCAAGGCGCCACGACTTCGAGCCGGAAGTTTGATTGTAACCTGCTTAATGCCATCCAAATGACTGGACTGTACGTAACAATTGGCGATAACACCCGCTGGGGGCCAGACGGTGGACAGTCTAAAGGTAGAGTTCAACCCGGTAATCAATAAATAACTGTCATGTGGGGGGTCTCGCCCTTACCTCTGCTACAACAGGGCAACTTATGAAGGTATGGACCACTGACTGTCGAAAGCTTTCTGGCCAGTGGACTGGCGTTCCTTATCGGTTGACCAACTCTGAAGACTGGTAAGAACTGCTGAAAGAATGTGATCCCCTAAGTGGCCCACTCTGCAGTCTCCTCCTGCATTCATTAGATGAACAAAAACTCCTACGAGAGTGGAAACGGGCCATCCTGTCTCTTATCTTCAAAAGAGGAGACAGGTAGAATCCAAACTGTCGCAGACCCATAGCACGTCTACCAGTAATATCGAAAGTTACGAGAGTGTGACAGACGACAGCACCAGGGGACATCTGGACGAAAGGCAAGCACTCAGTGATGCTCAACATGGCTTACAAAGGGGCGGGTCCTGTGCCTCCAACTTCCTGATGGCCCATGATCACTAAACAGCATGCTGAGATCTCAACTTCCTGGTTCACGCAACTTTTCTGGATCTCGCCAAAGCCCTCAACACTGTTGTAGTGGACGCAAAGAATGTCAAGTGAACCAAAATGACAAACTTAGTATAATTTACAGAAAAATGGATTTTATAATGCAGAAGTATGAAAAGCAATACGTTATAACGCAAAAAGCATTTACAGAGTTATAGATGATCACTGGTTACTTGAGGGCTATCTCTTCGATATTGCCGACCACAATTCTGGATACTCAAGAGATCAAAAGGCGATATTTCTTGGCCCTCCGCAGTGGTCGTTGGTTAGCTTGATTGTCATAATGTTCAAAAGCAGGATGAGAGGTCCCGTAGAATCCCAAGACTATCAGTCAGCGTGCACGACAGGCAATAGTCACGGGGAAAGAAGTCGGAATAGTTAGAAGCACACTATATATCCACGATTAGCAACAGCAAAGTTTTAGTTACCACCACAACCAAAAAGCGTATGTATAAACAAAATTCGTTTATAGAAGTATTAGGAAGAATGTACCGAGTGTGTAAAAAACGATGAAAAGGGAATATCGTTTTTAAATGAAGTGGTTAATGCACGATTTAATGCAGCCTTCACACTATCTAGCACATCGTCCTATTACATGAAATAGCCGGGTTAGGTACCAGCGGCCAGGTACTGTTGTGGCCGCAGAACTACTTAGACAATACGGAGTTCTACTCATCTCGGAGGACACCATCATCCAGTGTCTCACTAGGAGCAACCCTGAGTCCTCTGTTTTTCCTACTGTTCGTGAATGACCAACCGCTGCATATCAGCTCTCCGACTCCGCTATGCTCTGTCGACATCATGGTATGGAGGGCAGTAACTGGCGAAGAGGAGTCGAGCGGACTACAGAACGACCTCAAAACATTAGAGGAATCGGTAACAAAAAACTAACTTGTATTTAATCTGAATGAGTGCTGGTCCATGTTCCTCCGCACTCCTGATCCACAGAAAGTATCCTACCCTCTCCGTGGTTCACACCGATCCCATACCATAGCAGAAAAAGACCTGGATTAAATGGTGACGGAGAAACTGGACACCGGTTCCAACTACCTAGAAGATGCCTGAAAAGCATACAGTGTGCCACACTCTGTGCACAGATGGCGAGGTCCCCGCACCCCAGAGCTCTTTCAGAAACTCTAGAAGACTCACATACGACACCACATGGGGGTCCATAACGCCTTCGCTCCACCACAACTGAAAAGAGGCGCGAGACACGGAGGCCAGCCACGAAAGGGGTCATTGGGATGCGACAAAAACCAAATGAGGATAGACCGAAAGACATGAACCTGTACTCTCCTAGTTACTGAAGGTCATGAGGTGACTTGGTAGTGGCTTACAAAATACTGAATAACCCAAGTCACCTGAACAGAGGATTACCACCAAGCGGACACTGGTAATCCTGGTGGAAACCCCAAGAGAATTGCTCACCAAAGGTCGAAAACTCAAGTGCACTCACGTTTCTTCTCCCTTCGAGTCTGGAAGCACTGGAATGCATTACCAGCAGAGGTAGTCTGCGCCACATCAACTGAAAGTTTCAAGGAAAGGCTAGACAGTGACGCGGAGACCCACGGTCTTCCCATACGTAACTGGAATGCTAACTAATTAGAGGAAATCAGCTGCTGCTACACCATTCCAACTATATCACCTCTGCTCCAGCTTTCTTCCTACTGTAATCATTTAGGCCCTTTTCATTCCCTTCACTTGCCATGAATTAGCCTCACCTAACTAAGTTCTTCATGTCTTTGCACCACCTTCGTTTTACTTAAGTGTAAGTAGCTTGCTCCATTAGCTCACTTTTCTTTGCCTTTTGCCCACACAAATTTATCTTTCTAGGCTTTCCCTTCACTAGCCGTAACTCTCTCTGACGACCAGTCTGAACAACTGTCTGGCAACTCGGCGTCTGGAGAACCCAACAGTCTGAGACAAACAAAGCAACACTTAACCTTCTGTTGTGTACACCAGAGCTGCAGCAGGTGAGTGGCTGGATCTACTGCCTCGGAATCTACCAAAGACCTGGAACCGTTCCACAAGAACGAGAAACGATCAAGACGAAATCAACACGAGCTTGTTGAACAGATACTGGATATTTTATTTTGGATATTGGATCTGTATTCCCATAAGCTGTCCTATAATCTTACTTGCTTCTTCTCTCCCAACTGACTCCATGTTCTCACGCTATTTAGCGAGGGCTCCCTTTATCACTCTTCTCCCATGAATCTGCCTAAGTTTTTTCTTCTGTTCCGCTTCTCTTCGCCTTGTCGCCTTGTTTTGTTTCTTTTTCTTCAAACTTCCTCTCCCCTGATTTCTTTGGACACATTATCTATCTTCTTTTTACAACCAGTTCGACTAAATGTCTGGGGACATGACAGTTGGGGAACCTTTCTGCACCACAGTCCTTGAAAAAACCACACAATTCCTACAAATTTAATCAACACTCAACTGCCCGTCGAGCCAACCAGAGCTACAGAGGGCGAGTGTGTAGACCTGCTGCATCGGAATCTATTGAAGACCCGGAACCACTTCGCAAGACCTAGAAGCGAGGGTGAATAAACTAATTGATTTACACTAGCTCGTAAAAAGATATTGAATATTGTTTCGGTAACGCAATTTTTAAATTGGTCAAGGTTGACCTGAATCACCAACCACGCCTTTCTGTGTTTAGTGAATATTCGACTCTTAGAGCTCATAGGTCAGTGAGTGTATAGAGTTTATTGATATTTTTTTAAAGTGAAATAATCAGTTAACCTTCTTTGGTCTGAAATATACATTATGGATAACATCTGGTTTGCTTTAACAGTGGGCGATAATATTACAATATTGTAATAACTCGGTATTCATGCTAAGTGGCTTGGAAAAAAATGTGTAACCAAACTTTACCACGACAAATATTTGACATTAAATCATTCAGGTGAAATTTAAAATTCATCTTGATTGGAAGTTGAAAACACTATCCATAGTATACTAAATAGTATATATATATATATATATATATATATATATATATATATATATATATATATATATACTGCCTAGTCAACATTTTCGTAAGGTTTGATAGGGCAGTTTCGCGTCACTCATTTTGAATTCCTCAACATTTACCTTGAGTTTGGCCCAATATTCTCGATCAGGGGCCTGCATTTGACCAGCTGTTTCCTGGGATTTCCCTACCTCTCCCAATGTTTCCTTCTGTGGCCCTAATTTTATCTGTGTTAACTGCATTAACCGCGAGGTCTCATCTGCAGTCGTACATCGTTTTTATATTCATATAGTTTTATTAGGAAGTTGTAAACTTAGTCGTTCGCATAATTGCCATTACAGTATCTTCCTAGATATGCGAGTAGCATTGCCCGCGTTTTTTGTGGAATCACCGTGCGAGCGATGCTTAGGTCAGTACGCGATAAGATGGGCAAGTCGATTGTGAATCTTAGTCGACTGAGATAGTTTGGACGTTTCGTGTATCTAGGCACTGCCTACCTCGAGGTACCATGCTAAGGGAAGCTGGATTAGGTTAGAAGAGGGTTCAGGTTGGTCAGACTAGGTTTCTGTATTGGTCGATGAACCCCCTGACTATTATTCTGAGCCGTGTACGGCGGGAGACTACCTGACTCCAGTCTTCGAGGCGATAGGAATCAGTGGTTAAGGATTGTTGGTGACTTAGTTGGTAATTAGTCACACTGGCGCAAATGTATTCACTCTTTGACGTCTCCTGAAGCTTGAGCATTGGTACTAAGGTTTATCTTCAGATGGTTTGTTCTCTCATGCAACTTTACCTACTTCGATATCACTTTTTCTATTCACCTGTTTTTCGTGAATATACTATGAAGTGTGGCAACTCGAACCGATACACATATGTGAGAGGTTCTATTTTCATCGGTTCTGTTTGCCTGCTGGGGCCATTGTTTATTGCGATTGGTATGATAAGCTGATTATCGCATAACCGCCTTGTTTGGATCACGGAAAATGTAGAATAGGTGTCTGATCATTTGGTTGGCATTGCATCGTCGTGAAGACTCCTTTAAGCTTTGCTTAATGTCTAATAAATGAGCTGTTGTGTTCATCTGAAACAAGCCAAATGGCTGGGTTATGACAAAAGTTGGTTCTTCACTTAGTCGCTGTGCATTACAAATCAAATAATGTTCCTTGTCCTTTCAGGAGTTTGAACCAAATGGCTAGTCGTGTGTTTGCGTGTATATGAGAAAACTACCATTCAGTATAAGTCCGTTCGGACAGCTAGGATCACACAGCTGGATCTCACAATGTGTGGCTCACTGCCTACTGCATAGAGGTGAACGTTTGCTGAGTGCATTCGAATTCATTTCGACATCCGCTTTAGGTCACCGGATTCTGGTGTGCAGAATATGTATTCAGAATGCTAAGTGTAGTACTGTAATTATTTTAATGTATTTTTAAAATATTCTCTACCAAACCATATTCCTATCCTTAAAAGTACTACCATTTCCTATTTGATGATAGCAAACTGCAAACAGTTATGAATATGAGCACAAATCCAGAAATGTCTATCAGCAACTGCTGAGTTCTTTGAATGCTCATGAAAACGTTCCAGTCTACTCAAAACTAATCACAGGACCCAAACGTACTAAAACTTTATTTTCACCTAAATCTCTGGTTTTTGTTGGTCTGAATTGGTGAAGCATAAACTGATACTGGGGTCTTATATTGTTTGTCCACGTGACCTAGCTTGTATTCCAAAGTCATAAACATTTGAAACACTACATTTCTAGCGTCTGATTTTACAAGCATTTTGAAGCTCGGGCTAATGACGTTGTCTAGAGTGATAATAAAAACTATGCAGTTAAACCATCTAGTCCAAAAAAACCACGAAATTCATCTGAAATGCAAAAATGGACACCTGAGAACTTCGGGAATAGCAGAAGTTGCCCACAAGCTGTAGTATTGCAGTCTGTTGTGCTTTTCTGTTTTAAAATAGCGAATGTAAAGAAAGGTAGTTTCAACCTGTGTTTATGCCTGTTAGCTAGCTAACGATCACTTGTGACTATCCCTGGATTTCAATTTCTTATTGACTCCTCTGGTGTATAAGTTTCACGATATTTTCTACCATCAGAGCTTAAAGTGGATATGTTACTCTTAAAACCTTATCTAAGGTCGCTTATCACCCACACTACAAGCCCTATATTAAAATGATTACAAGCGCTAGTTCTTAATGTCTGGCAATTTTCGTTCCCTTCACGCAGTCTAGTTACTACTTGGAGTTTCATTAATAGGTAAGGGCTGTGGCATAAATTGTCTTTCCCAATATGGGACGTTGAGACAGTGTAGAGCTATTAAAAGACAAAATAAATGTACTCACTTTTTAAAAACCAGTGAAAATTGGAAAATGATCGATAGTATTTGTAAAAGCCTTAAGAATTAGTCTTAGCGTCAGCGATTTTCTATGTAGAGATTAAAACAGTTAAGTGTACCAACTGTCACCCAATTTAGGAACAAGTAGTCAGTGTGACTAACAATTCAGTTTTGATTAGGATGTACATATCTAGATTTCAGATAGCTTCACAGAGATCAACTTCAGTGAAACTAGATATCTATATTGCTTTTCGCATGCATAGTAGATGCGTGTCTTGAAGGATAGACAGACAGATCGACAAAATCAACGTAAAACCTCGCACACAAGTGCATAGGTTCAAGCTGCCACACTTCACAGTAGCATGCGAAGAACAGGTAGATAGAAAAGGACTGATGTCAAAATAGACAAAGTTGTGTGAGGCCAAACAATTTGTTGACAAATTTATGTGCGAATACTCAGTCTTTAGAAGACATTAATAAATGGACACACCAATGCTATTGTGATCGATTTTCAGCCATATCACCAAGAGTTCTCAACCGCTGGTTCCTACGGTCTCAGGGATCCCAACGAGGCAGTCTACATCTCGGCTGTCACAGGACTGAAAAAGCGTCTACTGCTGTCAGTCTAGAAAGCTGAGTGGTTTCTGATTTATGCTGAGACATGCAGACTACGAATGTGGAGTCTACAAGGAGGACACTAAACATATGAGGCCCTCGGTACGGCTTAGTTGTTTAGAGTGAAGTAGGCGTGCTGTGTTTGAACCAGGGGATGTATTTCTTAGAGCTAAGGTGCCTAAACCACAGCTATACTTCCCTTTATTTTCTGTATTCTAAAATGTAAAGTCTTTAGTCCATTGCAAACTCGTGCCAGGCTCTGGTATTTCTTCCGAAATATTCACTGATCCCTCAAATCTAATCGAAATATATTCAGCAATCTTGTGCAAATTCGTGCAGTAGACAACGAGCCGCACATTTTGTGCGAGGTAATAATGCTACTACCTGGCTACCTAAACCTCGGTAAGTAGAGCGTGTTCAAATTCGTGACCTGATGGAATTGCTTCAACATTATTACAAATACCTTTTAACGATGTGGCTCATCGACCTAGTACATGTTCATGCACTAAACTGAGTCCCACCTTATGTAAAAACTGATGATACTTTCCAGTTTATGTTGCTGAAACAGGTGATTCAATGACTAGTAAACTATGGGTCCAATACAGTGTCATTTATTTGTGTTACTGGGTTCTAATATTTGGAAGTTTTAAGTTGATGACCCCGGAAAATTCCATAGCTAATGACATTAGGATTCAGGATATACTGATCGACCACATTAGATATAATAGCTTTGGCATTGAAGGCTGCAAACCATAGAATTCTAACCATGTAGATGTAAATAAGTGATTGGAAATGCGGCTTATGGACTTAGTCATTCAGTGTTCAAGTAATGGTTCCTCGGTTCAAGCCTGTCAAAAAACGGTTATTTCCTAAAATATCTGCTACCTATCCACGGATGCTTTTCATATTGCTGATACGTTCATTCAATTGTGGTTATTATTGTTCAAACTGCATTATTGATACAAAATCCAGTTACAAACTTCAAATCACATTAATAACTGTTTTTATTAGCGCCATAATAAACACCACAAACAACATACAATTCCAGCCTGGTGTGGGACAGGTGACTAACATGACCCATGTTCATAGCAAAATCCTTCTCCATCTACTTCGAGTTCAGCAAGTTGGTTGTATCATAAACTCTCAAATGTTATTGTTTATAACCTGTTACATAACTGTGTATGGAGTAGCTTACTTACAATCAACCTGTACTCCCTACGTATAGCAATGGATAATAATGACACAAATGCACTGTCTCCTATCGAAAACTCAAACAATTTAAGGTGATACACCTCCTTGCAGGATTCTGCTGTGATCTTTGTGGTTCTGTAACAAAACTGCGCATGACTCCCAAGTGTTGGGATTAAATCCTGCAAGAGTCTTCGACCAAATTATTATGCCATTTTATATTACTTCCGCAACGATAGTTTAAGCATTTCTGGACAAAGCACTGACGTGAATGCCTTTTTATACCATATTCAGTAAAAAAAATGTTGCATTCAATTTGAAGTGGTAAGATGAAAAAATGCATTGTTTTCTGCTCTTGATTTACACATCTGTCTCCCTCACTTTTAGATATTATATTTAAATATCTAAAGGCTATCTCGTCTATTATCTTTTGAAAAATGTTTATCTACGAAGGAGCCCACGTTCTACTGCGTAAAGAAAACTGTTATAAATTTGTTAAAATTTCCTCAAAAAAGTAAGTTGTTTTCAGATGACTTTATTCTCTGATACTTCAGAAAAGAGACATTCGATGGGAAAGAGTTCTCCTTAAAAAACTCGATTGGCTTACCATTTGGATCCACATTTTTGGTTTCAGGAGATCAAATTCAGCCTACTACATATAAATCACTGATGATTGTTCGTTGTGATTACCCAAGGACCTAATCTATTTGTAGGCTGATGCAAAGAATTCGTCTTCACTAGATGATGAGAATAAATCTGATGAAAATGAACTTAAAGACAATAGAAATATCAAGGGTTCTCAGGATAATCAAAAGTTAACTGGTTCATGTATAGAACAGTTGCGTCTTAGTGGCATATCGGGACAAGTAAGGAATATCTACTTATCAAATATTTTTTGTAGGATATTTTAGATCAAATTGTTGAAGGCAGTACCACTTTTGAACAAAAAACAACATTCTCTCAACAAAAGTATCTGAAAAAAAAGAAAAATCGACACTTGAGTTTATTTTCAATTGAAAAACCCAACGCCCGCATAATTTTTGAAACTTATGGTAGTTTACGTCCGGAAAAATGTCTGTAAGTTTCCAGACTTCCATTTATAATTTGACTGATCCATTTTGTCAGTCTACATTTCAGACTAGTACCAGAGGTATTCAAGGACAATGGTCGAGGATTTCTCGGTCAGGTTAACTGAAGTGTCATCTTGCGCATGAGACATCTGAGGCAGCAAACAGGAGAAAACCAGTTGGTTTTCAGACCTGACCGTGGGTGTATCGACTAGGTAGCCAAGTTCTAGACCATAGGTACGACACCCGATACTAGCTATATTTCCAGACCTGAAGGTGGGGTTTGACTACATCGGTCTCTGACTGAGCAGGGTGTTGAGTAAGTACGTCACTAAAGGCTCTTTACTGGGACACACGTGGACGTTTTAGAGCCTATGGTGGGTTGTGTACGTCAAATGGTATCAGTTAAGGATGTTCATTCTCTCCATTCTCATTCAAATTTATAGCAGATGTACTCATTGAAGTCTGCTTCTTGTTATCTAGATTTAGATGAATTGATCTGGTGACAGGAGAATCTTTGATAGGTCCAGAATACCCAGACGACGTAGTCCTGTTAGTTGAAGACGCTGACAAGATGTGTTTCTCGCTATCCAAATACAAATTATTGTTCCAAGACTTGTCTTGGTGCCTTGACTAACAGTAGATAGTGAAGTGGTTTGGTACATCGAACACTTTACTTACCCTGTAAGTCGGATCAGCCCTGGTGGGTCTGTGACTTGTGAAGTTGCTGCACGGAAACAAAAGGCTCGACTGGCTTTCACCAATTTACCCCATTTGTGGCGCTACCGTGATACCCGGTTATCTATTAAGCGTCAAGTGTACTGTGCTGCAGTTCGCTTTCTTCCATGTATCTGTAAAACGTGGCCATTTAAAGTAGAGAATATAAGGCCTCAAGTGTTCACCCACTGTTGTTTGCGTAGCATAGACTGTGTCTTCGTGTCACCATTTCAGTAATCCAGAAGTCACGTGTAGTTTTGGGTAGGAGCGGGAAGTCAGTTGATGAGGCTGTGAACTTTCAGTGACTGAGGTAACTGGAACAGGTGTTACACATACCTAGTTACCGTCTGTCTTGTCGCAAAATGTTAGCTAAAGTAGGTTTAAGCTGGAAAAAGGTTGCAGACTACCAGACTAAAACATAGCATTAGTGTATAAAGACTTTGGCTGTCGGTCTGAGCCGTGTAGGAGAATGTAATCGTTCCTGTTGGGCGTCCACGTGACAACAGAAACCAGTGTTTGGAGACTGTAGGTGACGTAGCTCAGGATCGATCTCAGTGGTGCAGATGTATCTACTCACTACCCTTCATCTTAATCGTTGCAGTAAATTCATTATTTTCGTATTCCTCCTTGTTGTCTTTTTACGACTTTCTGCTACTTTGATTGCTTTCTTCTTTATTTCTCTGTTTTTCACTTTAGTGCTTTCTCGCCTGATGTGCTGAGATAAGGTGTTGAAACTTGAACCTTTATGCAGTAGTACCCTAGTCCTATGTTGATCTAGTCTTTTACTTCTCTGCAGTTGAAACCATTCTCTGGGTTGAGTAACAGAAGGCCAAGTACAGCTTCATTTCCACAATGTTTTCCAAATTTACACCATTTCGTTCACATACAGCAGAACCACCATGAATCTATCTGATAATTGGTCTGAGTTGCTTAGGAGAGTATAGGCCGTCCGGTGAAGACGAGTTATTAGGAGTCAGTGATTAGAGAAATAAATCAAAATGCATTCACCAGCCGTGTGCACATTCGTGCAATAGGCAATGAGCCATACCTATTTTGTGATGGCTAATAATACTACCTGACTACCCGGGCCTCTGTAGGCGAAGCGGTTTTCGAACCCGTGGTCAATTAGCTAGAAGTCATTTCTTTAAACCAATGAGCCATAATGATGTGGGTCTGAATCATCGACAGTAATGATTATATTCACTCTTTATCGTCAAAACTTTGCCATTGAATCATTTTTTTCTCTTTTTCATATTTGTTTACTATTATACCTCATTTGTGCTCAGTTCTGTGTGTACTGTTGTGAATTATAGATACTCCAACTGATGTATTTCTACGCAAGATTATACATATACTTATCTCTTTGTTTATGTGTATCCGATAATTGAACATTTACAAGACTCAAACATCTTTGTTTTATGCACCAACTACTAGATAATCTGAAGGGTGTCGATCACTCTTTAACCCGTGCAACTGTGACTATAAGACACACCTATTGTCTAAAGGTTTGGGAATTCAGTTAGCTACTTAGACTGTAGTGACCGGAACTTGTTATAAACTACAGACATACTAGTGTGAAGTCGATTATCTAAGTAAAGATGTCATAATTCCTTATTTAACAAACGATATTCTTATGGTCTCTAAGAGATCGTGTCAGGACCTAATGAAACTGGTCATAACCTGTTTAGTCGACTTAAAGCTGAGATGAATTGTAGACGTTAGGAAAACGTGATAGATATCCACAGACAGACAGACGAAATCAGCGTAGAATCTCGCACACAGGTGCATTGCCTCCAGCTGTTACAAGTCATATTAGTCTACAAAGAACAATTGAATATAAAAATGGCTGGTATCAAACTAGATAAAGTTGTGTGAAACAATAAGCAGTTTGAAGATAGAGGTTAGTGCGAATAATCAGGCTTTAGGAGACGTCAAAGAGTGAATATATCTTTGCCACTGCGACTGATTTTTAGCAGTGTCACCAATAATCCTTTATCACTGATTCATTTTGTCTCAAAGACCCCAACCAGACAGTTTACAACTCCCAACGTGGCTCACGCCAACAGTGATAAATTTTGTCGACTGGTCTCCCGTTTTGATCTGGCCACCGTGGCCCCTTTTCCAACCTAATCCAACTTCCCTTAATATGACACGTCAAGGTAGACGGTGGCTGGGCATACGAAACATGTCTGAGCCATCTCAGTCGACTAATATTCCCAACCTCATCAATTGACTTGCCTATCTTGCCGAGTACCCTTCGTCTGACTTGAGCATCGCTTACACGGTGGTTTCATCAAAAGCGAGCAATCCTACACAAATATTTACGGTAAAAACCCTAAAATTGCTTCATGTCTTCTAATTTCAACGGTCATGTCTCACAGCTCCACAACACGACAGAACGGATTGCGGCGCATTACACTCGTCCTTTGATAGGTAGTCAGATATCTCTCCAGTTGGCGCCAGAGATGATGCAAGTTGGCAAATGGCAGTCGGTCTTTCTGTATTCCAGTTAAAATTTCGTCGGCAAGCAGTCCATTCAATCTGGTGCAATTCCCCAAGTAAGTGAAGCGGTCGGCACATTCCACCACTTCACTTCTTATCATCAAAATGGGAGTGGTTCCATCGGACCAGTCCTGGAGCATTATCTTACATTTGACAGGTCCCAGTGAAACCCATGCCAAAAACACTCAGATTTCTGTTCAACGCCTGTATGGTGTACAAATGAGTTACACCCACTGATAAAACTAGGTGTTTTCTTGTTATAATAGTAATAACTGATTCAAGGTGATTTCTATGAGTGTTATAACTAAAAGTCATTTATCAGGTTTGAAATTCTACCACTTTTACAATAGTAAGTCAGATTTCTTTCACATAAAATAGCATGCAGTCATTTTCGACAACTGTCAACTTCTGACTCGCTCGGTTTATGTGATCAGAGCAACCGCTTGTATCGTTTGGTGGTATAACTTGTTGTCAGTACATTTTGTTGTTGTTGACAAATTTCCAGTTCACATCGAAATGTCTGTGTTACTTCTCATATCTTTTATGACCTATTCACTACTTTTTACAACATTGTTGTCAGCTGTTATATTCTTGTAGTGACCAATTGATATAACCTTAGTTATGGATAAGTGGACACTTGTACAATAACCTCCAGATTCCACGTAATTCTGGCCACCCAGTTTCTCGACAATTGGAAAAGGCGGTACGATAACCGAAGGTGTATTGCAACATCAAAAACACAAAATGCAACAGTTTATTTACACTTAAAATGGCCGTCGCTATTTCCAGACCTTTCTAAATTTGAATATCCTATTGATTCTCGTCTCTTTGACCAATCTGCTGTTTACACGTAGGTCCACGTGCTTCTTCTTGAAATTTCGAAACAACACAATTGGTTTCAACAAGCTTCAGAGATATACGGCTTCTAATGAAGATTTTGTCAATCTTACTGCACACTATAGCAATATCTTACTGTATTTTTTTTCTAGTGGACTACGTTTTGACACAGTATGTCGCATCCTATCGTATGCTAATATTCATGCTGGATCAACTGTTCTCCTTTGTGAAACTTGTGGTGGACTCATCACAACAGCCGTACTTGAACGTATTGGAATCGACGAACCAGAAGGGTTGGTGATTCAGTTTTATCATGGCTCCTCTCCTCCCAAATCAGAGATTGTCCCTCTGTCCGGAAGCATCTATACTAAAAGGGTATGACTTTGCGTTTTGCTCTTCTTATCTATCTAAGATAAATATCCCTCGTCTTGACGTGTAACTACGTTGAGAAAGGATCAGAGAATGGTAGCGGAATGTAATGTAAGCTGTATTTCTAGAAAGTTATATCTTAAATTGGGAAGGTGAAAAGATGGAGTCAATAAATTTATGCTGATAGTGGACGGTGTTCAAAAAAGTTTGGGAAAAGTTGAGATATTCTGCTGAACAACCTGATCAAAACAAATAAAATACTACTTGCTGTATTATTAAAAGGCATTTGTATTTACATAAATGGCCTCAATTAATGTTTCACCAGAGTGACTGTATACGCTCATCACTTTGCATCCGCTTAGGGGCCCATCTCCCAACAGAGGTCGAGTAATTTGACCCTGTGTAGCAACGGGAGATTGCAAGTACCAAAGAACAACTGGTACCTGTTACACAAGAGGTGGTGGTTGTAGTGCCCCAATGGCCTAGTGGATAATGCTTCGGCGTTTTAAACGTTGGGTACTAGGCTTGAGTCTCAGTGGGACAACATCACTCATTGGGTTGTAGGTACATCCCCAGCTGACGCGTCCCAAATAGGACCATTTTACACCATATGACATAAACGGTGTTCGACACATGTTCTTTATGTATCATATCGAGTATGGATCCTCTAGGTAAGCCTTGGTGAATGTAAAGAATGGCCTAGTGTAGTTGACAGTTCCACCAAATGACATTTTGATGCATACAGAAGTTCGATATAGATTTGCTAACCTATGCTGTGATGTGAGCAAGATATTTGAATGCTTATTAACAGTCAAATGTGCAGAGTAAGTGTGATGGAAAAATATTTGTAACTCAAAATGAAGATGAAGGTACTTTTGTATTCTCTGAGCTGTGATGTTTTCTGTCATGGACGTTTCATCACCAGGCTATGTGACCTCCTCAGGATTAACTGTCATGAAGCAGTGAAGCATATTCGAATGTTTAGGTAGTATGGACTGGATTAGTACATGGTCGCGAAATGTGATCATCTAACGCAAAAGAATGACGATTCTTTGATCGCCCGCATTTTTTTTCTTTAGAACATTGCTAACATACTGTGCAAGTATCGAGTGCAAAGATTCAGATGAAGGTGAATCATCCGATGACCTTATGAATTTGCCAACTCATTGTCCACCCATTGTTGTGTAATAATGGGCATAGTGGGAGAAAAAGCCTGAGGATGAAGTCACTGACCTCTGATTTAAGTTGCGTAGGCTACTATACACTTCTTGTTTATAGTCTTTATGGTGTTGAGAATAATTGGAGATCCTAGACAATTTGACTTTAAAGCTGGGATAATGTCCTACCACGAAACTGTCACCTGTTGCCGCTGTAAACTATGCGTGTATGATAATTTGAACCGAAGCTGCATATTATTCTCTTTCTGTAACAATGATTATCGTGTGTAGTCATTGTTTCAATCTACCTCTTATGTATCCATCAGTCTTGTCGTCAATACATCCGATAAATTCAACTTATGGTTGTATTAGTAGTAATCAGTACTGGGTGATGATTGGAGATGAAGTGAAAATGTGGGACGTCATGGGATTCTAACTGGCGATCACTGAGTTTCCGGCTCAGTGGTCGACCGGTCATATGTGCGGAAGGCTTTTTACTAAGAACCCTTGAATCATCCGTTTAATAGACAGTCTTGCGATATATTTTCGTTTGTATCCCTTTACTGTGTAAATTTGTCATCATTTCAGGTCTATCCTGTTCGCCTACTTGACGTAATGCCAATTTTGTTATACAAAGCTTCTCAGCATGACAATAATGACAGTAATAGTGGGTCCAAATGCACAACTGGTGAAGATTCTGAGAGTTTGACCAAGGTGAGTATGTATCTGACTATGTTCTACGTGTGTTATGATCTTAAAATTGCTTACCTTCAAGTATATCGATCGTGTGCGTATAAATCCTATTCTCAAATTGTGTTAGGTAATGTGAACATCCCCTATGTAGCTAGCACATATTGAAAAGTGTGTCTGATTTATCGAGGATAAAATACTTCGTAAAAAGAAACATACTTTCAATGAGTTGCCATTTGTTGCATTTGTTACTTCTTTCACCGTCCCGACATCAATAACTGATAACAATTAGGTCACGTTTAACGTACTCAAGTTATCAAATGAGTTGTTAGAGCGAATGGTAAAGTACTCAAAAATGCATGGTCCAACATTTCTTATAGCTGAGTACTTTTTCAACTGGTTAATTGTATTGTCAAGTGAGTTTTTGTTGTAATTCACCCATCAAAGATAATCACTATGATATGTAAATTTCACTAGCCGAATAAGAGTGATTCCCAACACAAATGTGTCATCATCATACCTTGTGATCTCGACTGGATGGTTCGCAATAGAAATCTAGTTGGTCAGTTTAAAAAGTACTAGATTGTGAGGAAAACTAATGTAAACCATTGGTAAGGCGCTGGGTACCGAGTTCGATTCTCAGTGGGAAACATCACTTACTGGGTGGGGGTAGGGATAAAAGTGCAGGTACATCCAGTTAACGAGCCTCAAATGGGACGAAAGACGCGTCCTGGATTCCACTGCGGGTCAGCAAGATGAGTACACCAACGTAAACCGTTTACTTTTTTAAATAACTCACAATTTGATCATATTTCAGGTATACCGATCTATCCTAGTCACCCAGTCTGACAGATTCACTTGCTCTGAACAGTTTGATCCTATTATCTGAGATCGTCCGGGTAGATCGCTAATGATCTCTACTCCAAGGGAGCGAAATGACCATCGAGTATTTGGATCAGTGTGATCTGACGGACAGAATCCACACATGAGTGGCTGCAAAGTACTTGTGTCGTTCGTTAGATAGATATCTTAGAGTGAACTCTTCCACCTCTCTCTGAAGTATGAAATGCAAGATGTAATGGATAAAACTATTTTTTGTTTTTCCTCTAGTCATATGTGTGACTATTTACTGCTACAGAGACAGACAGAACCAACATAGAACTTAGCACACAAGTGCATCGGTTCAAGTTGGCACACTTCACTGTAGTAAACAAAGTACAGGTGGATAGCACATGAGTGATATGAAAGTTGACAAAATTGTGTGAAAGAATGAACAGTTTGAAAATAATGGTTAGTGCAAATATTCAAGCTTCGGAAGAGGTCGATTAGTGAATACATCAGCGCCATTGTGACCGGTTTTCAGCCACATCACCAACAGTCCTCAACCACTGATTCCTATCGTGTTGGCAACCCCAGCCAGACAGTCAGTCTACGTCTCCGAGCATGGCTCAGACCACTGACTAGTGCCACGCCTTCCTCTTGCCACCCTGAACTCTTTTCCAACTTAATCTAGCTCCCCTTAGCCTAGCACGTCTAGGTAGGGGTTGGCTTGGCAAGCCCAGTACATGTCCAACCCATCTCAGTCGACTAACGTTCACGACCTCATCACTCGGTTCGCCTATTTTGCTGAGTACCCTTCGCCTGACCTCAACATTGTTCACATGGTGATTCTACCAAACGGAAGCAATCCTGCGAAGAGACTTATGATCAAAACCCTGTAATGGCTTCATGTCTTTTGCTTTTAACTGCTGCACGGTAATAAGCAAGTCGATTGCGTAAGTTGACAAAAGTTAGTGTAACCTTTTATACTCATCAAGATTTCATTCATCTTCAAGCCATCTAGGCTAATATAATTTAGTAAGTAAATAAACTGGTTGACTTGTTTACACTCTTCACTCTCTATTATAAGACCGAAACACCGATGGAGATCAGCACTTAGGCAATACTTTTCATTGTCAAACTGAGAAGCATATCCAAGGGATTCTCAGCTCATAGCTTTACATACTCAGAAGGTCTTCGCACTACCAGGCTCTCCTGCCTGCCTGACTGTACTATTTTCTGATACTCAATCCTAGATCACATTGCTAAATGTTTATCATCATCTTATCTTACCGGACAAGCGAATCCATTATAGTTTTAAAGAGAGAAAATATCAAATACTTTTTGATTTTTTCTATTTTAGATTCGTAAAGTTGATGAAGATTTGTCTCCTGTGGAGCAAGAACAAAGTGAAAGTATGTTCAGCTTTAATTGTATTACAAAATTGTGAAAATTTGTATTGACTAACTAAAATGAATATCCAGTAGGCTTACCACTCTAAAACAATAAATATATTGGCTCTTACAATATGTACAACATAAGAATTTCATACTCAACTGATAGCAAATTATTTTCTGAAAGGTGAGTATATTTTCCGAACACAATGTTGTCTTCATGACACCAGTAAGGAATTTCATAAATGCATTAGTACACCATTATTTAAAGAAAAAAAGTACTGTCTTCAAATAGCTTCTTTTTGTGTTAGTTAGTGTGTGATCTGAAACTACACGGATCAATCAACAGTACAAGGAAAGATGATCCTCTTATGAAATTGTAAGGGTAATGTCTAGCATGAATTGCAACGTTTACCACTTCAGCTCAGCAAACAACTCATTCTGAACATCCACACTCCCTATAGAAACTAAAGTGTTCCAGGAAACACTGAAAGTTTAGTTATCAAATGGACATGAAATTTGTGTCAATTCAAATTGGTATTCATCGTCGACTGACGTAATTTGAAGGAACATTGAAAACGTGGGGGCACTGGACAGCTGTTTCATCTTATTATGGGACTCCTTGGCAGTGCGTACCTATGACCCTGCCTCGCCAGGGATCAAGGACGAAACAGCTGTCCGGTACTCCCAGGTTTCCATTGTTCTTTTAAATGCTGTCAGCCCATAACGAATACCAACTTGAAATCAATAAATCTCCACAAACCCCCCAAATGGAACTAATTTAGTGCTCAGCAGTGCGCACACTTGACCGTACCCTGCCAGGGACCGGACCCCGTACTTTCAGGTTTCGTGGCCAGCACGTTACAACAGAACCACTGGGTCGGAATCCAGTGGTCTGATGGTGAACAGCTTCGAGAGGTGATTCCTGGAGTTCCAATGAGAAGTGACAGGTGGGGCAAACCTGGTGAACGTGAGGACATTGGGTGAAGGTCGCGCTATGTCATCAACTGACAGAAGTTGGAAATATGGACCATTGGATTCCGACTGAGTGGCTCAATGGTAACATGCTGGCCATGGAACCTGAAGGTCCTAAATTCAGTGCCTAGTGGGGGCGGGGTTATAGGTGCACACTGCTAAGGAATCCCATACTAGGAGAAAACAGGTATCCAGTGTTCCTCCAACTGATGTCAGTTCATGATGAATACCAACTTGAAATCATTAAATCCCACAGACCCCTAAATTGAATTGTCTGTTATTTGTAATCTATGGCAGATTGCCAGCAATCGAAAGAATTTTGAAGGTGAAACGAAGTATCGTTTGAATGAGACAACATCATATACACATATCGTTATACGTAACAGGTTTATACAATATCTCAGCACCAAACGTTGTGCAAAAACTGAAGTAGCACTGAATGTGCCATCTTGACGGCCCTTTAGAACTGAAAGAGCAACAGAAATATGACATCACCAGTTCGATTACTACTATTACTGTTGTTATCATTATTATTATTATGTAGCGTCTGTCTACTCATGACTGAGCATTTAGCTAAGCGGCTAAGGCTAGCTGGAGCAAAAAGTCCACGAATTTCTATTGCTAAACTTTTAATGGAATACCAACACGAAACCGATGCTACCAAAGCTTTCACAATAGTTAGCTGACAACGAAATACGAAAATACTTGAGACTGTGAAAGCATCCTTGATTAGAAATCGTAAACCGAGTCTATGTTTGAGCAGGAAACGTCGGTTGTCATCCTGAATCTACCATAGTAGAGGCTTCGTCTTTGTCTTACTATTTTATTGCTTCCTTTGCTTTACGCTTTTATCTATTCATTATCCCTATTCTATCACATTGTCATTTCCTCCTCTTCACTTAGTAGACAAATGCCTTATCACCGTCGCAATTATTATTGTTAGTGATCCACTAATACTCTAGTCTTCTGTAGTCTTCATTGATACTGGGCGTTGAGTAAAGGAGGAATGAAAATTTAGGCTGTGGCAGAACGCAAACCAGCGACCACCGAGTTTCCTGCCAGCTGCTCTGCCAAGTGACTTACGAGAGACCCGGCTACTCACCGAATTTCTATTTCACTTCAGTCACCCAGGTTTTTGCCTGACTGCTAAGCTTGCAGATAGATCTCCATTTGCCCTGATCAAAACGATGTAGCCCTTAATCCGTTCGATTTTCTTTATTTTTATCGCTTATTATTATTATTATTTGTCTCTTGGGTTCCTAGTGGAACATAAGGATTCAGTTGCACGCCTCCATCTCACTCTGTTCTCTGCAGTCTTTTCAACCTGGCTCCAACACTACCCATAAGCTTTCATTTCTTCCTCACATCATGCCTCCATGTCACCCTCGCCTCGAATGCCCAACTCGCCGTTTCCCATTTGGGTTCCACTCGACAGTCTGGCCTGGTGCATAATGCCCCGAATAATCTTTTCAGTGTATGCCCAATCCGATCCATCTCCAATTTTTTCTGCATATTTGTTAGGCGATGGTTTCTTGGTTGGTTCGTTGCCAGCCACCCAGAGTGAGTTCCTTGTTGCTTATTCTTATTATTCTGGCCATCTGATCTTCAGTAACAAGTGAGCGTAGGCGTCAGCTGTTGATGAATGTCTGTAGTTTGTTGGCGGTGCTATTCCTGACGCTCCAAGTTTCTGAACCACATAATAGAACTGACTTGACATTGGTGTTGAAAATCCAGATGTTGTTCAGGTTTTTCACTAAGTGCAGTAGATCCCTACGCTGATCATTTCAGATTCATACAGGGAGATCTGTCTTGCTGTCTTTCCGACCCTGGCTGGCTTTGACGCCCTTGTCTGTGCCGCCACCTGTAGTTGAGACGATGCTGTCAAGCTGAAGTAGGTGAAAGAGACTACTTCCTTCAGATTCCCCCGTTGATGGTGATTGGTACTTGCTGTTTATGTTGTTGTTGCTGTTGGTTGGGTACCTCCATCACTTATGTTATATCTGCGTTCACCTGAAGCAAGTCCCGTCTTCCTTGGTTATAGCAGACAAAAATCATCGTTGGCACAATCCAAATGTTCTAGGGTCTCTTCATCGACCCGGACAGTGTATGCCCTTCTTCTCGCTCGTCACAGTTTGTTGCATGATCCAGTCCAGTCAACCATAATCAGGAAGATGATCGGTGATAGTAGGTGGCAGCCTTGTCTTGTCTTACTCCTGTCCCTTGTCTTCACTTCAAAGGCGTCAATGAACTTTCCATTGTGAATCACTTGGCATGGCATGTAGCATCATATAGCATATGGCTGCTGTTGAATGAGGTAGATAAAGGTTTGTGGCACTAAAACTGTAGTGTTGAGGCAGCTGCCTGCCAAATTACTTCTCGATCGACGCTGTCGAAGGCCTTTTCAAAATCGATGAAGTTGAGGTGGAGTTGAGTTGACCGCCATTTTATGCTCTGTTCTATGATGGTGTGAAGCGTAGTGTTGCAATTTGATTTGCACATGATTTGTTCTTCCTGAAGCCGCCCACCCAGCCAGCCAGCCTGCTTCGATGGTAATTTCGAATCCCACACATCCTTTAGTCTCCCCATGATGATGCGGCTTAATATTTTGCTTGGAGTGGACAGTGGTGGAGCATGATTCGGCACCAGTTCTTGCAAAGACTTAGCTCGCCTTTCTTTGGAAGTTTGACAAGGTAGCCGTTCTTCCTTCCTTCCATCGGAATCTTCTTCAGTAGTGGTGTGAGCATGTCAGCTGTTGATGTACGTGCGTCTGTTTTCAGTGCTTTTGGAGGGATTCCATCTGGTCCTGCTGCTTTGCCGGATTTCAGTATTCAGAACTTCGAATTTTGTTGGAGGGGATGTGTTCACTGGCAGTACTGTCGTTTCTGGTGGTATTTGTGGACGAGTTGCAGGTGGCGGTGGTCGACTGAAGAGTTTTTTGAAGTGGTCAGCCCATCGTTTCCTTTCTTTCTCCTCTTCGGTAACCAGGTTTCCTTCACTATATTTCATTGTTTTCATCTGTGTTGATCTCTTTCCTATCAGATAGCATTAACCTGGTTGTTTGATATAATGTTGTCAGGTCTGTCTCTCCTACCTGCAGCCTGTTCTGCCTTACTTGCCAGTGTGTCGTAGAAGTGTCTTTTGTCATTCCGTGTACTTATCTTCACTTCTTTGTCCAGTGTAGTGTTTTGCAGGTTGTATTCAGTTCATCTTTTCCTTATTCATCCCTACACTGCACTGGTTCATCATCTGCTTCACCAACCTCCTCTCATCTGTCAGCAGGTTCCATGTATACGTGGAGATCTATTCCTTGTATTGCTTCTTCTTAATTGTCAACAAGGTTATGCAGGTTTTTTTCCACATCTCTTTCAAAACGTTCCAGTGTTCTTTCACGCCCGATCCTTCAGGGATGTTGCTCAATGTCTCCCATTTTGTCCTGGTGACTGACCACGTGAAGATATCCACTGTAGTTTCTTCCTTCAGTTCAGTTTCTGTTCAGGGTGTTGAACTTGAACTGTGGTCGTCTATCACCAGCTTCTTTGAATTGATGGCTTTCAATTTGGTTTTGAAGTTAGGTTCCTTGCACTAGACAGTTAGTGGTGTCAACCTGCATCTGCTCCTCTTGTTGATCTTGTGTCCAGTAGGCTGGCTGCGTCTCCACTTTCTTCAGATTGAAATGAAGTCGATCTGATCTTTTGTGCAGTATGTCCTGGTGTCTGATGATATCAAATCCATGTCGCTTTGTGAATATCCTTGTGTTTGTACACACAACCTACAGTTGCAGTTGTCTGTAGAATTCCTCCTTCATCTCTTCATCTGCATTATTTGTAGGTGCGTAGTGTAGCGTAGCATTTTATGGTTGTGACTTTCTTCCCTTTTGAGTAGAATCTTGCTGTCATGATCCTGATCCTCCGGGAGAAGATTGGTTTTTACTGCCTTTTGCGGTGTTGGGAACATCATGATAGGCACTCGAAAACTGAGTTCGCTCATGGTTGTCGTCCAGGTGCTAATGTCGGGGTAGATTATTGATTCCTCTCTAGTTGACAATTTGAAGTGTCCACTCCATTCTATCTGCTTTTGCAGATTCCTAGCACTTCTCTGCCAGATTTCCTCATTTCTTTGCAATCTAGGCAGCCTTACTAGCCAGCTTCAAACATTGTTCTTCATTGCATGTCCCCAATCCTACTTTCGCTTTCATCGAGATAGGGGTGACGCATCGGTCAGTTGGCTTCCCGAAGGCTTTCACCATCCGACGTCATTTCGTCCTTACGATTCTAGGGAGGAATAAGTTTGTTTTTATTTTTTATGTATTCTTTGTGCTTTGAAGTTTCTTTAGCGATTGTATTGGTTTTCCGTGGTAGGGTTTCTAGCCGTATGCCCAACCTTCTCTCTTTATCCTGGTTTAGGACAGGCCAGTAACTAGTTAACTGTGCTGGGTTTTTTTCATCGCTTAACCCATTGTTATTATCACTCACGCCCATTCTCATTATTATGATCAGTATTTTTGTTTACTTAGTACTTATGGTTCCTTATTTACGCACTGCTATTAAGCTACCCTTCGCCTCCTCCAACCTAATCATCGTTCTGCTTGATCTAGTTAAATTACTCACTCCATGTTGCTATGGCTTGTTCACCGTCTGTCTGTATATAAAATAATCTATGTAGAGTAAACAACAGACGAGTCCTACTGAAATGTATGATTTTGTATCGGGAAGCCAAAGTTTTCAGTACAATTATTATTATTATTATCATTGGTTGTTTAGCTTGTTTGAGTTGAAATAAACTCAGCAACCACACACTCATTGGTTGGAGATGACTATGAACCAATAAGTCACGGGTATGAGATCCCCTCCACGTACCACGGTTTGGACAGCCAGTTAACTAGTAGTAGTGTAGTGGGTTCTACTGATGAGAATGGATATACGTAGCACGTAGTGAGAGGTGAGCAGAAGTCATAGGTAATTAAGAGAGATGGGTAAATATTCTGCACACAGAAACGTAAGAGACGACGTGGGCGTGTGAAGAACCAAACGAGGTAGAAGAAGAAGAAGAGGAAATGAAACACATTGTGCAAATGAATATTTCAATGGAAAGATTACCATATTTCATCACTGATGTACAAAATGTCATAGTAAACATCCTTCTGCGTTCCATCCTCTGGCATCTTACAATCGATGAAACGCAGAAGAATATTTCCTATGATATTTTGTACATCAGTGATGAAATATGGTAATCTTTCCAATGAAATATTCATTTCCACAGTGTGCTTCATTTCCTCTTCTTCTTCTACGTCGTTTAGTTCTTCACACGCCCACGTTGCCTCTTACGCGTTTGTGTGCAGAATATTTACCTATGACTTCTGCTCACCTCTCACTACATGCTCATCAGTAACACCCACTATGATACCATTAGCCCTCATACAAGACGTGCGACTCATCGCCTACTGCATGGATGTGCACCGGATTGCTGAGTGTTTTTCGATTCGATATCTTTCGTAATGATCAAGCGTGATTTGAATATAGGTTTTTCAAATGTCTAATTACACTCGTGTGAATTTACTAGTACAATTGGCAATAATTCGCAACCCAGCATTTCCCTGTAATCACAAGTTAGCATATAGAGTTTACGCTTGTAAGTTCATCTCGTTTTTGCTAATTGAAATTATGTGCGTGAAACATGCTACGTTGCGACGCATTAGAAAATGTGGTATTCACTACAGTACGACATCACTTTAAGAGAAACATTGAAATCTGGGTGGACTAGGCAACCATCTCGTTGTAGAATGAAACTGCATAGCAGTGCTCACCTATGACCCTGCCAGGGATCGGACCCCAGGATCTTCAGTTCTCATATAGACCACGTTACTGTTGAGCCTTTGGGTCGGGATCCAGTGGTTCAGATTTCTTACATTTGACAATTGAATTACATTAGAAAAGTTTCATCATCAATACACACATATGTGCATACGTCAATTTAAACCATGATTTCTATTGGGTAATATCTGTTGTTTAAAGTGAAATGCTAAGTTGAAGTTTTCATGCGAACCTCCAACAGTCAGTTTGAAGTGATATAACCAGTGTCTTAAACATATCTCCCGATAGTCAGTCAGAAAGTGATGCATAATAATGAACTCCCTTTGTAAATAGGTTATGGAATTGGAGCTCAGTAGTCCAGTTACTCGGCTTACAACCATTAGGTCATGGGTTCGAAACCCCTTCCACCAACCCAGGTTTGGACAGCCAGGTTGTATGAAGAGTCTTCACTGCAAGAACATGGGCATAGTTGTTGAGTATACTTCTATTTTTCTCTTCTCCAATAAGTCACTGAATATCCAATGTTGTATTTTTCTTCAACAGATCAAAAAATATCCAAGAAACACAATACCAATGAAAGCTACCTTACATCATTCAGTTATATTTTTGGAAGCGATCGTCCTTCAGCAGATTGTCTTGTCATAGTTACACGATATCATCCAGTTGATTTAACTTTATGCTTACTTCAATTTCTACTGATTGGTCGACCTTTTGTAGTTTATTCACATATATTCAGGTAGGTAATTTTCTATCTCCTATAATTCAGCGTTATTTTGAGTGCATAATAGTAACAAGAATCACTTACTATCCTATTTATGTGTAGAAGTTGCATTTTTAGTTTATACTGCGCGAATTTTGTATTGTCATGGTTTAAGAATCAAATTTTCTCAATCGTCTAAATAACTGACTTATATGAATGGGATAATAGTTAACCAATGTTTTGTTATATTGCAAAGTGAAGATAATCATAAACAAAGAGTGAAGTAGATAAGTCTGACTAGATTAATGAGATATTCAGTCGTCAGAACAGTATGAAGAGCTGAGTATGTAACCCCCTGATTGAAGTTTATCCTGAGTTGTATCGAACAAAGTGTTTAGCAATAACTTGTTGTTTCTCAAGCACCTTAGATATAACAAATTAACAGTCTCAGCAGCCTTATGCGCATTCATCCAGTAGGCAATAAGCCATACTTATTGCATGAGAGCTGTTGATGATACTGCCTGGCTACCCAAACCTCGGTAGTTGTGGCGATGTTCCAACCTGTGACCCACTGTAGATTGAAAGTCAAAAGACTAAACCGAAGAGCCACAGCTCCAAAAGGTTAACCGTGTAAGTATACTTAGACTTTTCGAATACTAGTTTATTTCTCACTTGCTTACAAGCCCAATTTTATGTCGTAGGACGTTTATTGATCTAGGTGGTCAAGGGGTAAGCTGCGAGTTCGAATCCCACTCAACTCATCCAAACTAGACAGCTAGGTGGGGAAGCACACCTTCACACAACACGTATGACCAGTTACTTATTCACCAAACATACATGGGTTTCTTAAATTACATTGCAACTATCATCACCATAGCAACTGTATTGTGATGCAAACACCAGACCGTCGTTTTGCTCGTTCGGGGCTGAGCCAGCTCATTAGCAGTGTAGCCTGACAAATTCAGCTCATGAGACCGAATTAGTTTAGGTTACCTGAATCTTGGCTAGCTGACTTGTCTATTTATCACACGCTTCAACTCAGCACAACCCGACCAGTTAACAGCAAACGCTTGAAAAGCCGATATTCCTTTACACTTTGAGTAATTGATATTTGCTATGTACAATATTATTATTATTATTATTATTATTATTATTATTATTATTATTATTATTATTATTATTATACCTAGCAGATGAGGAAAGGGAGTTTAGACCTGTCGTTGAATACAAAAAATGTTTCGTATATTCTCTCTTTTTATAAGTAGTGCAACTCAACCTATTCACCGCTGATATGAAAAAACTTGGTGGAAAAAAAGGATATTTTCAACCGGTGGCTGAATTAGTCCCCTGAACTATTGTGTCATAGGTCCATCCATCTAGTGGAGCTGTGGCTCACTGGTTTTAGAAAGATAACTTTCAACCAGAGAGATAGTCATGGATTGGAACACCGCTCCACCTACCGAGGATTGAGCAACCAGGTATTATCATCGATAACCCTCATTGCCTACTGCATAAAATGTACAAACTTGCTGAGCGCATTTCAACTTCGATCCATCTGGGGGAAATATTTAGCTACATTCTCTTAGTCTTCAATTTTCTGGCACCGATTTAATTTTCTCATATGTGGCATTCGAATTTAGTAAGAAAACGTACACCAATCAACTAAAACCTCGGTCAAATTATCGGTTGACTCGAGCCATTACTCAGTGCGAAAATTAAGCAACTAGAGATGTATGTTCTTGAATGACTGTATTGATCTTATTTTAATAAGAAGTGCTGAAACTCTGCTCTGTCTGTGTATACCTCAATTCATTGTGTGGCTGGGATTAAATTGCTCTTTCCCTATTCCATTTTTAATGTATGCCTAACCTGCAGTTCATAATTTCCCGTACCATCCATTTATCACCTTTACACACTTAGCCGCTTGTTGATTTGTACAACGCATTGAAACAACGTGGCGGGATATCGCATCTTCGTCTAACCGACAGCTGTATCGTCGTATTCAAGTATTATCGGATAGAACGCATCCAGAAATTAGTATGTCGTGTACAAATGGCTACCTTTTAACTGGTTATACAGTTGAACCGGAGATAAATACAAAAGAATTATTAGAATCTGGATTGTTATCGTCTCTTGCTTAAAAACAGTTGTTGTAATCTATTTTCATTACTACAAGATGTATATATGATGCTTCTACTGTCTTTCTATGCATAACATATACTTGAGTCATATGTTTGTTTTTTTAAAGAATAAATTTCCTCGGAGAGTTGTCTATGATGCTCAGTCCCACATTATTCATTGATGATGAGTTCTGAAAAAAAGAGTAGATGGAACCCATTGACCGCTTATTGTTTTGCTTACAAGTATTTGAGCCACACTTGTACAAAGGCTAAAGATACTATTTGTTTACACAAACCAAAATAGATTAGTATGAATCGAAGAACACCTAATCCACAGGTAAACACACTATGACTTGTCAGTCAGCAATAGATAATAAGGATGCGGGTTATACACTTGATTGTTGACATTTTCGGATACGGTAAATTAAGGGGCGATAAGTAATCTAGTTATCGGATAAACGATGCGATATTTGACAACAGCTGAAAGCAGTTTACTTCAGTCGGAAAGTAAGAATACATCTCTTGCCTTTTCATACAATGTGAGAGTCTTTGGAGTGAAAAGATAAATTAGCATATCAAACGTGGAAGATCGATCAATGGGTAAATGGCGTTCTTGAAAGTGGTAAAACTGAGTAATACATTTGGGATGAGAAAAGGCACAAAAAAGACAATTAAAATTTCCTTTAGGTAAATTTATGAAAATCAGGTATAAAATGTTCATATTTTAGGATTTAAAGTTCCCAACAACTAGATTAAACCCTGAGGAAGTCTTATTGAATGAACACACTATAATTAACAAATCATTTGGTGTCATCTGGAAAGATACCATCACGTACACACATCCACACTGACTTCACTCTCGACTGCGTAGCGAGTAGAAGATTCGAGATCACATTACTGATATTCTCCATTGCACTATGCTTTCTAGACTCAGTAAAAACATCTTAACACTCATCACCAGATTCTTGTGGTCAAAAGTGATCCAACTTCATTGAATCACTATTTGAAAAGTAGTTTGGATTGTCTCTTACAAAAGAACATTACGTCCGTTTTCATTTTCTAATTCATAAGTGAATTAGACTGCACCTAGCATTGAGTTCATGTGTGCGAAAATAAATGCTGGAGGTGTTCTGGTCTCAACACAGTAAATTTGTCATCTACATATCACCACTATGCTTTTGGGGTGGGTGGATAGAAATGTTCCCAATGTTATTTATTCCCAGTTACTCATCGATACGTCTGCTACGATCAGTGATATTGGAGATCCTTTCGCTATTCCTCCTGTTTGTTGATATATTTTTTCTTGAAAGTTGTGCGAGTTAAGCATAATTTTATCCCTAACATAATTTCTTCAATAGAAACTTTACTTCTAATACTGAGTTCAGGGTCAGTTGTGAGTTGATTTTTTGACTGCCTCAAGTGATATACTAGTTGGTATAGAGCCTTGTCACATCATAGCTGAACACCTTTTCTCCCATCTTTAATTCTACATAGTTTAGTCTACGTTTTTCTAATCAAATGAAGTGGTAAGCGTAGTTTTTGAGCGATTTCCAAACGGAAATGGTATTATAGGTGTTTATTTGGATAACTCATATATCGGTCGTGTTTCTAAATGTCTATTCACTTTTTTCAAGTCATCCGCCTTATCCATAACTACTGACAAGTTGTCTTTGCCAGATTTTGCAATTACTGTACTACTGTAATCCCATAAATTTCTCAGTTCCAGTATTTCTGGTCTTATTGAGTTCTTCATACCTTTCCTTTATTGTCAGTGCACATTATGCACGCACAGGATCAGTAGTTGTCGTATCCATCGACCTTAATAATATTTCTATTTTGGTTATAACATATTCAGGTTTCAGTTCAGCTACTCCTACGTTAGAGTTTAATCCTTTCTCGAGAACTTGTTTTCATTTCAGCCTAATTCCCTAGTTAATCGATTAATCACCCACGTTATTTGAGTCATGGTTGGTTTGTCTCATTTCTAGATATATACTACTTCTCGAGAAGTTCTTTCAATTACATTCTAAAACGTTTAGGTTTAAATTTAGAAGTATTCGTCATGGACAGACATCATTTGGGAGCACTGGACAGCTGTTTCGTCCTAGCATGGGACACCTCAGCAGTGTGCACCCATGACCCGGCTGGGGATCAAACTCAGGACCTTCAGGTTTCACGGCGAACACGTTAACCATTCAGCCACTGGGCCGATTTCCAGTGGTTCACAATTTCCAAATTTTGTCAATTCACGACATAGCGCGACTGTCACCCAACGTCTTCTGTTAGCATCCACTTCACTTCCGACTTGTTGACCCCACAGGCCACGGCTTCTCATTAGAACTTCCTGACATCATCTGGAAGCAAGTCACTGATGAGCAGTATACAGTAATGCATTTTGAGATGAATGGGGATTTTTAATTTATAAGTAGTATTCATCATGGGCTGACATCAGTTGGGGAACCATTGAACTTCTAATGAGAAGCCGTTACCTGTGGGGTCAACAAGTCGGAAGTGAGGTGAATGCTAACAGAAGACCTTGGGTGACAGTCACGCTATGTCGTGAATTGACAAAATTTGGAAATTACGAAACACTGGAAACCGACCCAGTGGCTTAACGGTTAACGCCTCCGCCGTGAAACCTGAAGGCCCTGGGTTCGATCCCTAGCTGGGTCGTGGGTGCGTACTGCTGAGGAGTCCCATACTAGGACGAAACGGCTGTCCAGTGCTCCCAGACTTTCAATGATTTCGTAACTGAGATCAGTCCATGATGAATACTACTTCTAAATTTAAAAAATCCCCATTCATCTCCGAAATTCGTTTAAGTTTAAAATTTTATCCATTTCCTAAACGACAGCCACTTGAATGTATTATGTTTTCAGAAGATCATAGACAATATGGATTCCTATATGCATAACTCCATAATGCAATTCTACAAATTCATTGCTCAAATTGTGCAATCTCTCATAAACACGTGGAATATACATCTTAGACATCGGAAACTAAATATCCCTATTAAAACCCTACCTTGAATCGACGAAATCCAAACTCATAAGTGATACATAAAACATCGTTCTTCATCTGAAAATTGTACTAAACTCCCATCCCACTAGAAATATACAAACATATTTGGCCATATCAGTCGTTACCAGGATAGCCAGCCTTTCAAGTTACTCGTTAACCCACTCAGTTGGAAATCGGAACCCAGTGTCGGTCGGTCTTCTCTTTTCGCCCCGGGTTCCAGTCGGTGGCTCTTGCGTACGAAGTTAGCTGTCAGTTACGGATGCGGATTTACTATCATGATGCCCCGAATACTATCAAAAGCCCTTATGCATTGGGGACTCATATCTTCCTGCTGGGTTGGGATATTGACAGCAAGATTCAACTGAAAACGATGAAATGTCAGAAGCAGACCTTGGCACCTGCATTTAATGCAGATTCATTGAAGAAGGAGGAATTCCACAGAGAACTGCATTGAGCACTGGACAAGACATCACTCCAGTCGGTGACATGAAAAAGCATTCTCATAAGTGGGAAAACTTAAATGTCAAACTCGGAACGGCCAAAGCAGGATGAGAAGCGCTTGGTGAAATGAATGAGGACTGAGAGCTGTTGCAGACTTTTGTTCATTGAACGATTTGGTGATTGGAGGTTGTGTAAACAAACACAAAGATATTCACAGAGTGACATAGATTTCACCAGAAACCTGGACACATTGCACTAAAAAATCAGATCGACTTCATTTCAATCTGAAGAAAGTGGAGACGCAGCCAGCCTACTGGACACAAGATCAACAAGAGGAGCAGATGCAGGTTGACACCACTAACTGTCTAGTGCAAGGAACCTAACTTCAAAACCAAATTGAAAGCCATCAATTAAAAGAAGCTGGTGATAGACGACCACAGTTCAAGTTCAACACCCTGAACAGAAACTGAACTGAAGGAAGAAACTACAGTGGATATCTTCACGTGGTCAGTCACCAGGACAAAATGGGAGACATTGAGCAACATCCCTGAAGGATCGGGCGTGAAAGAACACTGGGACGTTTTGAAAGAGATGTGGAAAAAAACCTGCATAACCTTGTTGACAATTAAGAAGAAGCAATACAAGGAATAGATCTCCACGTATACATGGAACCTGCTGACAGATGAGAGGAGGTTGGTGAAGCAGATGATGAACCAGTGCAGTGTAGGGATGAATAAGGAAAAGATGAACTGAATACAACCTGCAAAACACTACACTGGACAAAGAAGTGAAGATAAGTACACGGAATGACAAAAGACACTTCTACGACACACTGGCAAGTAAGGCAGAACAGGCTGCAGGTAGGAGAGACAGACCTGACAACATTATATCAAACAACCAGGTTAATGCTATCTGATAGGAAAGAGATCAACACAGATGAAAACAATGAAATATAGTGAAGGAAACCTGGTTACCGAAGAGGAGAAAGAAAGGAAACGATGGGCTGACCACTTCAAAAAACTCTTCAGTCGACCACCGCCACCTGCAACTCGTCCACAAATACCACCAGAAACGACAGTACTGCCAGTGAACACATCCCCTCCAACAAAATTCGAAGTTCTGAATACTGAAATCCGGCAAAGCAGCAGGACCAGATGGAATCCCTCCAAAAGCACTGAAAACAGACGCACGTACATCAACAGCTGACATGCTCACACCACTACTGAAGAAGATTCCGATGGAAGGAAGGAAGAACGGCTACCTTGTCAAACTTCCAAAGAAAGGCGAGCTAAGTCTTTGCAAGAACTGGTGCCGAATCATGCTCCACCACTGTCCACTCCAAGCAAAATATTAAGCCGCATCATCATGGGGAGACTAAAGGATGTGTGGGATTCGAAATTACCATCGAAGCAGGCTGGCTGGCTGGGTGGGCGGCTTCAGGAAGAACAAATCATGTGCAAATCAAATTGCAACACTACGCTTCACACCATCATAGAACAGAGCATAAAATGGCGGTCAACTCAACTCCACCTCAACTTCATCGATTTTGAAAAGGCCTTCGACAGCGTCGATCGAGAAGTAATTTGGCAGGCAGCTGCCTCAACACTACAGTTTTAGTGCCACAAACCTTTATCTACCTCATTCAACAGCAGCCATATGCTATATGATGCTACATGCCATGCCAAGTGATTCACAATGGAAAGTTCATTGACGCCTTTGAAGTGAAGACAAGGGACAGGAGTAAGACAAGAC